TATAGTATGAAATAAAGACTTAAAATTTATAAATTTATTTTAAATAAAAAATTAAAAATATTATAATATAAAAAATGATAGACTAAAACCTATAAAATAAAGCGTTAAAAATAAATTCTTGCTACGATGCGTGGAGGGACGACATTCTTGGGAGGTGGGGGCCTGGGGTTCACACTTTTTTGGTAAGGACAACCTGGGCCGCTGAATCGAAGGGTCCAATCATAATTGCACTCTTAGGTCGAGCGAGGCCCATTTTGATTTGTTTTGGGAAGTCAATAATAATTCCGGATTTTGTGGCGGTTACGTTGCCTCCGTGGACTAATAACAGTGTTTATGGATAAGATGATTCATGAAAAATTTTTTTTACCATATTTTAGGACAACATTATATAGGATTTAAATAATTATTATTTATTTACTATTTATAATATTGAGTTTATTTATTTATTTAATAATATATAAAAATTATATAAAAATATTATACAAAAGATTATCTCTACATCACTATATTTGTTTATGCAGTTAACATCTCTTAATAGATAAGAGTTGAAGTTAAATTGATATTACCATATTAAGTTAACCAAAAAGTGGGTATCAATTTATATTGTGAAAAATTAAATAAAAATATTTTAAAATTACATTTTTTAATAAAATCTTTTTTAAAGGATTAAAACATCTCAATTTTTAAAGTATGAATAAAACTATTTTAATATTTTCTCATGATAATTTATTAAAATGATATATTTTTAAAATATTTTATTACCTAATTTTTTGAAGGCTAAAGCTAATAAATATTAATCTCTTTTTGTATGTCTGAATTAAGAAAAATAGAGGAAAAAAGAAGGGAGGGGAGGAGAATTTTACTTTTATATTTCCCTCTCCTCCCTTTCCCTTATTTAAATTAGTTAACAAATTAAGAAAAAAATAAAAGAAAAAAATTTTTCCCGTTCTTTTCCTTTGCAATACTTTTAACAACCAAATAGAAAAAAATTTTATCATCCCCATCCCTTTTCTCTCAATTTCTCTCAATCTAAACATACAATGAAATTGATTAAAAGTATTATAATTGGAGGTTAAAATTAGGATTTAAATTTATATATATAAATACCAAACATATGACATTGTATGAGAATAGTTTTCAACGTGAAACCTGAAATTTTTAATGCATTAAGCTTTTATTGTTGGGAGATTTGATGGGAGATGCCATGTATCCCAAATATAAAGATTTTTTCGCATATGTGACTGAAATCCTATCAACTACCATTGTTAGACAATCCAATTATTGCTAAGGTACTATTAAATTGTCATTAATATATACATCAAGATATTAATGCTCAACAATGGTTAATAGACTAGCAATAATTGCATGCTTGAGACATTAGCAATGACGTGAAGTTTTTTTTTTTTTTTTTTTCTTAAATTGGAGAGAATCACTTGAAATTTCTTTTAAATTATGAATCTATGATGATTGGCTCATGTTTCTTTGTTCTTTCTTCTTTATGATTATTTAGAAAATGATGTTGATAATCAACTACCATCTTATAATTTAGTAAGTCAAACAATTAAATTATAATAGAGTAAATGGCTGTGCTTCTTAATATTTTGTTTTGGTTGTTAAAATTTAAACCATCAAAATTAACAATAAAAAGTTTTGATTACTTTATCTTAAGCATTATTAAGATACCTCAATTGGATTTAATTGATAATATCCCTCTGTTGCCAACGCCATTACCCATTAGCACATAGAAAACAAGATGCAATGAATAATATTACAGTATATCATCATAACTTGCTTATAATTGAGTAAATCATTTCATGGTCCTTGATGATTAATTCCCTTATCTTCCATTTAGCCATGTTTGATCTATTTCTTATTCTATTCTTTCTCATATTTGGTACAAACAACTCGTGTGGCATGGCATGCATGAGTACAATTTATTGAAGCACACAAACAATCATGTATTTATATATATGTGGTGTCAATGTCAATGTGTACCCTTCAATGTGAAAACAAGAAAGAATGTATCTCTTCATGCACAAAAATAACCAAGCAGACCTGTGTCTAGTATCTACCTATACCTTCAAGAGTTTTAGCACTAGTCGAAGAAGAAGAGAAGAAGAAAGAAAAAGCTTGATCATACTACCATGTCAACTAACTGGTGATGCCTCCCTAAATCCAATGCCAAAATTTGTACTTTGCAATTCCTTTTTCCCCCATTCTGCGTTTCCTTCCTGCATCATTGCCACAAACTCATTGTAGTCTATCCGGCCATCCTGAAACAAATGGTAAAAGTTAGTGAAACCGAATTCACTAACAGTCTTCGTTAGGCTTTTAACCATTCTTCATATCCATGAAGACATGATTATGTCAAGAAACATTGAAAATGATGAGATTGATTGGACTGGAAATGCTCACATTATCCTGATCAGCATCTTGGATCATTTCTTCCAGCTGGACATCCTCTATTCCGAATTCCTTGCAGGCTTGTTGAAGCTCATCTTGGGTGATGTAGCCACTGCCATCTTTGTCAAAATATGAGAATGCTGCAAACAGATGTTCTTCTCTCTCAACTTTGTTTAGATGCAATGTTGCTGCTACGAACTCCTCATAATCAATCGTACCACTTTTATCAACATCTGCCTGCATTTTTGAAAAATACACAAGGATCAGATGGGGTTTAATTATGACTTATGAGTGACGAACCACAGAACTGTATTGTTAATATGATTCTGAAATGCTTGCTACCCACAGCCTGCATTAGATCATGAAATTCTGTTTCATGGAGATCAGCGCCAAATCTTTTCAGTCCCTCTTTGAGTTCTTCGAAGGTGATTTGACCACTATTGTCTGTGTCAATCATCTTGAACATTTCTTTCAAACCAGCAATTTCTTCTTCAGAAAGTCTCTGAGCAATGACCTAAAGCAACAACGCAAATTCAAAATGGGAGAACAATTATAGTCCAGAAGAATCGTTATAAATGTAATTTATCATATAATGGTATGTGGATTGAAAGAATATACTGTGTTATGATCTCCAAAGTTTTATGGAACAATATTACCATAAGATTGGTTTATGGTAAACTTGCAAAACTTACTCTGAGAGCCATTTTCTTAAGCTTGTTCATTGCAGAAAACTGCTTCAAGCGACTTAAGACTATAGAATCAAGAGGCTTGTCTGGAGCAACCCCATCTACTTGGACCCAAGGATGGCCTGTAAGGAACCAAAATATATTAGCAATGTTGCTTCGATGTGCCAATTAAGCCTTTGGAGGGGAAATACTATGGATATAATTACGAGTCTCAGAAAACTAGTTTTCTTCAACAAATTTTTGTTGCTGTATGTAGAAAAAAAGGCACTGCTATGATAACCAGGCAACTTCAAATGCATAATGGCAGACAAAGAAACTAAATTGCATTATCCATTTATTGATAACATTTCCCAACCTAAATGATGAAAAGAGATAATTATTTGGAAAAGTTACTTAGTAGATTGTATACAGCTGAACAGGTAGACTAAGCAACCTGCTGTACACAGGACATGACTCTCATCAATACTTAGAAGCAGTAGATTAGAGAAAAAGTATTTGCTTCAGATCTTGGATGAAACTGAAATTACTCAGAAACCCTGCGATGGTTTCAATGGCCACAAACATGTCATTTCCTGCTGCTTGTTTCAGAATGCACTACTAACCTAAAATGATAATTAGAAAATCTGCTTACTAATCTCAAGATTTAAACAACAGACATGTATCATAAATAACATGTACATGAATCTCTAATTCCTATAAACTAGTACTATGCTATAATTCAATGAATAAAATAACCAGGAATAAAAGCAAGGACTTACATAAAACTTCATGCACACTTATCCGCTTTTTAGGGTCTCTAACAAGCATCTTCTTGACTAAATCTTTGGCACTTTCAGATATCTTAGGCCATGGATCAGATTTAAAGTCAAGATGACCACGCAAAACCCCATCAAATATCTCTTTTTCAGTTTCTACATCAGTATATAAGAAAGGACGAGATGAATAAATATTTTACTCAAGCTGCAGATTTTACTAAGAAAATTATTGTGAATTTCCATCAATAGACATCTCAGTGCACCTACCACCCCAAAATGGAGGTACCCCACTTAGGAGAATGTAAAGAATCACTCCAGCACTCCACACATCTGCTTCTGGACCATACCGCTTTTTCAAAACCTCAGGTGCGATATAATATGGGCTGCCAACCACGTCATTGAAGACATCCCCTGAAAATTTTGGACCACTGATCATGAGAACATAGCAGATTACTAAAGATTATTTCAAGCAAACATCTAATTGGTAAAGATGCATGTAGATGGCAGAGCACAAAAAATCAACCTTGCAAAAATATTTACCAAAATGCTGGGGGTTAAGGAAATGTGCTAATGACTTTCTTCTGTGATGGAAAAAAAAAAATATGAACTAATGTCAAGTGAATGCTATATTGTTCTATTGCAGTCAATCTAGAAGATCATAGTTACATAATGTATTGTTCTACTGCAGTCAATCTAGAAGATCATAGTTACATACTCGCATTATAGCCACAAGAACATAATGCTAAGCTCAACTCTTGCACCATGATATCCAACTTGAGACTGCTTCTCAATTTAACATCAAGGAGAAAAGAATATAGGATAATCTACATGAATTACCTTTTGAAGTTGACTGGAAGTACAGAAAGGAAGGATTAATTTTGTCAAGATCTGTTCTTATGGCGACAATTTTAATGGTCTGTCCCTTAAATCTACCCGTTCATTATTAATTAATATGTATGGTACCAGGACAATTATTGATTGAGACTTCATCTAAGTAAGGTTCAGTTGAGACAAAGAAGAAGTCAAAATGCTTTATGCATCAATGTCTACCACTTATGCGGCCCAAATTTCCTATAAGAATGTAACTAGGCCTAATTTGTTAATCTAGTTTCTGTGTACACACAACAACAAGATTATATGAAGTACAATGGAATGTGATGTTCTAGAAATCCATTAGCAAATTTTGATGGTTAGATGAGGTAATAATGAAGCGATATGATAAAAACGCATTTTGAGCGTACCAGGTTTGAAGAATATGGACAATCCAAAATCTATTGCTTTAAGGGGGGAATCCTCCTCCTCGTTGACAAAAAGAAAATTCTCAGGCTTAAGATCCCT